AAGAAAAAAGATGAAGATAGTCAACATACCCTCCTGTCAGACAGACATCCAGGGGAGGACCATGGATGGTGCGGGCCGGGGGAGTTCGGTCCTGCTCCTGCCGTCGCTTCGTGTTTATTTCCCGGTTTAAGGGAAAGGTGGCGCGTGTGTCTGTGTGTTTATGTGTGTGTGTATGTGTGTGTTGGAGTTTTGCCGGTGAAAGGCGTAATGAGAGAGGGAGGTGGAGGAGAGAGAAAGAGGGAGGGACGCTGTCAGATGCAGGGAGGCAGGCAGGAGGAGGGAGGAAGACACGCTCGGGCACATAGCCTGTACTGTCCGCGTGCTGAGGGGGAAGTGCGCAAAAGAAAGGAAAAAAAGGGGAAAAAACCCCGCAGGTGTCAATCCAGCAAGAACATTTTAAGCCCCTCTCTGTCAACAAGTGATCACATCTGAATAAAAAAGCAGGGGGAAATGGGGCAGCGAGGTGACACCATCTCTTATTGTTTCCACTGCTGTTACGTTCACGTACCCCTGTGTGCCATGACAGTGTGACACATAAACACTTTTAAATGTGTTTCCTTTTGTTTTTCTTTTTTTTAGACAGCTTCTCGTGCAATCAAATATATACTTTGTCTTATAATAAGCCAATATAATAAACCCTAACTGCGCGAGGAGCTGCTCTTATTTCTTGTAGTGTCGTCAGGATGAGGATGGCACAATCCCCTCTCTGATTTCATCACCAAGTCAACAGCTAACAGCACACAGCCTATTGACTCCCTCACTTTTTGCATACAGAGATGATGGGATTTATTGGCCCAAAGGGCAGGGCATCCTTATTCAGCCCCCTCTTGTAAATAAAAATAATGGGAGCGTGTCCATGAAAAGCAATAATACGGAGGTATCAGTTCCCTATTGTGCTTGCTAAATTAACAAGGTAGGCTATTATTTTGAGAGCCCGAGTTAGATATAATTAATCACTGATGAGATATTGCTGAGGCTGTTTTGATTAATCCTTTCCTGTTCTCAGAAAGCCAGGGCTAGAGTGCTGCAGTATGCTGGGAAAGCTTGCAGACAGTGTGTAAGATTGTCATGAGACTCTATACACTATATTTACTTTCAGGGTTACTAGCAAGGCAAACTCCTAAAAACTCTTACAGTCAGATAATCTAGTGCCAAAGTTGCAGTTTGTTTGGCAGGAGGTCGCTGTTCCTGTCCCAGTAGGACATTTGTGTTTTTCACCTTTTGAGTTTGCTTGGGTTTAGGCTCCAAAAACAAAATGGTTAGACTGTTGATCTGAAAACTGCCAAGTTTGCTCTTGGTGCTAATTGGTTATATTTTTGCACTTAAAATGCAAGGCTTGGGTTAAAACATGCACGTTCAAACAATAAACATGCTCACTGACACATCAAGAGCAGGAGTAACAGTTCCCTCTCGCTAACTCAGAGCATCAGGGCACAGACGTGAAGGGAAACCTCATGCTTTGACAAAACAGCTCTAAACGATGCACTGGAGAAGAGTCCAGCGTGGACATGACAGTCTCATTAAAAAGCTGGTCGGTATCAAAGAACATGTATCCTAAATCATTTACCATAAATGTGTTTTTTTCTGTAAAAACCTCATGCCTGCATTACTCTCAACACAACTTAACCACCAACGGCTCCATCTGGGATTTCTGTGTGTTATGGAGCTAATGAAGCCTTGAGCTGCTAGCCTCAAGCAGAGCAGAGGAACAGATTAAGCTCATTCAAACTCCAAAACCCAGATTTTTTTTAAAATTTTTATTTTATTTCATTAGCACAAACTGAGTCGAGACATCTCTTGCAACTATATGTCAGTCTGTGTAGTCTGTGTGTACCACTTCCCTACACCTGTAAAGACTTTGATGTGTAATTTTGGTTTGGGCTGCATATTAAAATGAATCCACTGCCTTACATTGGAATATGTTTTGGACCTGTGAGCTAAATCTAAATTTAAGACCTTTGTTTTTTCTATGCACATGACTTTATTCACCTGTTTAATGCAGTGTTTTACCATTTCTGGGCTTTGTTTCCAGCAGCAGCAGTGCATTTCAGAGGTTTAAAGTCATTCCACATGCTACAATTAATTTGTGCTCCCAGTATGGTTCTACTTCACTTTGTGGGAATGGTTTGTCACCGGCCTTATTGCATATTCAGTCAAATTCTAATGTTTGAAAGTATCGAGCGTGGCTATTTAGTAACAGGTTACTGTGATTACACACTTATTATCTTTAGAACTTGACTGCAGGTGCCCTTATGAGCATCCACTCACTGGCCGCTTAATTAAGTACCCTTTTTTAACCCACTAATGCAAATATCTAATCAGCCAATTACATGGCAGCAATTCAAGCCATCCAGGCATGCTGGATTTCAATCTGAGCATCAAAAATGAGGGAAGAAAGGTGAACGCGGCTTGGTTGTTAGTGATAGATGGACTGGGCAGAGTATTTCAGAAGCTGCTGATCTAGTGGAATTTTTCTGCACAACCATCTCTGGGGTTGTGTCTGAAACAGAAAAAAAGATCCAGTGAGCAGCAGTTCTCTGGGAGAAAATGCCTCGACGATGCCAGTTGTCAGAGGAGAATGGCCAGACTGCTTCGAGCTGATAGGAAGGCAACCGTAGCTCAAAAACAACAACTCAATACAACCGAGCTATGAAGAAGACGACGTCTGAATGCGCAACGCTCCCAACTTTGAAGCATGGGAGCACACCGGGGGCCAGGCCTGTCAGCTAAGAACAGGAAACTGAAGCTATAATTTGCATGGCCTCGTCAGAAAAACAGAAAACTGGAAAAATGTTTCCTGGTCCGATGGGTCCTAAATATGGGGCAGTATTTGAACGGTTGGGTAGAAATTTGGCGCATACACCATGAAAGCATTGATCCATCTGATAGAGCACCTTTGGGATTTTGTGGAATGAATGATTCACATCATGGATGAGCAGCCAACAAATCTGCAGCAACCGTGCGATGCTATCATGTCAATATGGGCCAAAGCCTCCGAGGAATGTTTCCAACACTGTGATCTATGAATGCACTTCTAAATGGAAACAGGGGCATCCAGCCTGGTAGTAGCAAGGTGTACCTAAAGTAACAGGTGGGTGCTAATGGCTATTTGCTAAAATTTGTGTTGATCTTGACAGTTTTTTAACAATAGCACCACAACTGCTCCATAACACAAAACAAAGCCAGAAGCACTTCAATATTTTATTGAAATAAAGTTAGACATAATTGGTAAATGTTACCTAATCCCTGCTGTAGTACAGCTAAAAATCACTGCAATGTTTTGGTATCTTCACAACCTAGAAAGTGATGTAATAGGTAATGTAAGATGCTATGTTTGCCATTCTGTAATAATTTAAAATGTTTTCTAAGATACTGATCGATAGATTGAACCACTTCATATACAAAATGTGTACATGTAGTGCTGTGTAGTATCAAAGGGGTTTAGAAGCTTGTTTTTGTTCTGATGCACGCAACTGGGGGGGCAACACTCGGTCCTTGTTCGTACTTATCCAGTGTTATGTTTCTCCATTTTTTATTCAGCTTTCTCCTCTTCGTTTGTAACCCGTCTGTAAATTGATCGTCTTTTCCCAAAGTTGCATCATTAAGACATTTCCACTGAGAGAACTGAATAGTAGATGAGACAGCCTAAAAGTCAGTGAGAGATAAAAGTGTTGCACTTTGAAAACAAGCATGTGTTCTGTGTGAAAGTATTCTGAGGCTGAGAGTGGTTTAAGTGGCTGTGTTCCTCCGTTACTCCAGTTCAAGCCGGCCAGATCTGCATGCACGATGCACCGAGCTATAAGTCAAAAATGAAATTACTATAAGTGTTTAGCTATTGATCCTTGTCGCTCGCCTCTCCTTAACACACGCAGGATTGTTTAAATTGCGGGTGGACAGATCAATCCGAACTACTTCAAAGGCAGCCTGTTTAATAATGAAGCATCTATCTCCTCTGCAGTGGGAAACATAATGGCTCTTCAGAAGAGAGTGAAGTGAGACGATGGCCTCAGAGGAAAGTGGAACAGACACGGGGATGGACATAGCACACCAGTAATGCATATTCATAGACAATCAGGATGTTAATAAGTTGATCCCGGGCTCCAGTCCCTTGCTTAGAATTGAATTATCCAAACTGGCTGAGTAAGCACAGAAACATGAGTCAGAGCTGCCGGTTGAGGTTCAACCATCACCTTAATGTTCCCTTTGAAACATGAGGTAGCAATTATTCTTTGTAATGATGATCATAATGATCTGCTTTTCATTAACATCTTTATGAGAACCTCTGAAATTGTGGAAAAAGCTGCCAGAATATTTTTTCTAAAATATTATTTTTAGGGCTATATTAGCAGTCGTGTATTTTAATTCCACATTTCTTCCAAGACTAATTTAAAGTCATTAGGAGCAGAAGATTGTCTCAGTTCACCTTGTGCGTATTTGTTTTTTAAATGTACTTTTTATAAATCGGTGGCAGTGCTGGAAATTGTTTGCCTGCTTAAATTGCCCCCCTGTGATGAAAAGGGTTTTAAGCTCAGTTCAATTATTCTGACATGCTGTGAGGAAACAAAACGGCAATTCTGGTGAGAACTGGTGCAAATTATTTGTTCCTCTGGCTCATACATCTCACATTACCTAGATCAGTATTATTGCTGCCTGCTGCAGTCACCTTTTTAGATTCTACCAGTGGGTTCCCCAAAATTGGGAAACCAAACTTCTGAGAGGCCAACAGCATATTTAAGTCTTAAAAAGCTGAAACTTGATTTCTGCTCTGTCCTGGCTGCATGTCTAATAGCATCCTGAACCCCCTGCCCCCGCACACCTTTTGGCCTCATATAGGAGGTGTCTATGTAGCCTATTATCAGTAAATTTCCGAAACCGAAGATGCAGCACTCACTTTACTTCACGCTGTGCTGAGGTGAGAGAGATCTGTTTCCCCCACTCGCTTGGAAATGATGAAACCACTGAAAGCGGCAGAAATTGAGTTCCATTGTGCAGGCGCAGACCTATTGCTGCATCCAAATGATGCTTTAGTTTAAACTAGCTCGGTTTACGACTCCAAGCAGGATCTGTTTGGCCCCAAGCAAACATCTACTTGGCAGGATAGCACATGCACTGCGGACAAGAAAAACAGCTGAAACGACACAAACGCCGGTTACACGTCCACCGTGTTATTCCACCTTTAAACCAGCTCATCATAGTGCCAAGTCAGCGTAGGCCAGAATTTCCCA